TTCTCCAAAAGACTTCATAAAGATGCAGCTGTAGAGATGACAAAGTTATCCTACCTTCATTTAAAAACCGCATCACTGCTGTTTTATCATTTCCTAACCCTCACTGTGACTATCCTTAGTCTCATTAGTTTTGCTGAAATTCATCACTCATTTAAGAGGACAACTGTCACTTTCACTGCCAGTAAGCTACTTGACTTGAAGCACAATTTGTAATTATGGCCTCCAGAAGCAATTCTAGGATATAAGAACTCTGACAGCTTATTCTAAGTGAATAAATAATTCTACTGAAGCCATGTGTTCAGGTTAGAAAAGTAAACAACCCAAAAATCTGCAGGACATGCAGAACCATACTGTATTCATTTCAATTAATGTTTATGTTTACTGAATGTCTTCTAGGTACACAGAACACAGAGCCACCACCACCACCTGAATCCCCAGCAGAACTTGCATGGGGATAGGGGGTCTAGATGCATAAACAGATGCTCACCACAATGTGGCTGGTGCTCTAATGGTGAGGTTTGGATGCTACAGAAGCATCAGAATTGGGAAGTGTGTGGTGGAGGAACTGAGAAATTCAGCAAGATTATAGCCAAAAAGCTTAGATTTTATCCTAAGAGCAATATGTAATCACTGAAGGAGCTTAAGCAGGGAAGTGGTATGATCAAATGTATGTCTATTAAAGACTATTCCGGCTGAATGTAGAGACTAGATGGGGAAGAAGAAGGAATTCTTAGAGGGAGCCTCAGGTGGCTACAGTAAGCCAAGAAAGAAAGAATGGAAGCCTATATACCAAGGAAGTGGAAAAGGAGAAAACTGGACAAAAGATAGAGTCAAACAGGATTCTAAGTAACTGAATGGAAGAAAGGAGCTAGATAAGGACAGGCAGAGCCAAGGATTACACACAGATGTTGAGCTTAAGTAATTGAGTAAACTGTAATAAGGCTGCTCAATACAACAGAGAATACAGCAAGTTTCAGGGGAAGATGAGGAATTATACTCTGGGCATTTTAAGTTTAGCTACCTGTGGGATATCAGAGTAGGTATGTCCAGAGAGATCTGGATTAGAGATTTGGAAATCTGGCATGAGATCATCCAGGGGAAAGTGTGTGGAGTAAGAAGAGAAGAGCATCTTGGACTCTAAGAAACTCCAACAGCAAAGGGACAAGGATAGATACTGCATAGAAGAGGCTGTGGAGAAACAGGCAGAGTGGGAAGAAAACCAGAAGAGTGTCATGGAAATCTAGGGACGTGAGCATCACACAAAGGAAGTGTCAGTGTAGAATGTTCCTGAGAGACCAAATAAGGGAAAGACTGAGAAACGTCCACTGGATTTAATAAGACTTACTGGCAATCTTGACAAGAGTTTCAGAGAGGTTGTTGGGTGGAAAAGGACAGGTTACAGCAGGATGAGGAGCATGTGAAAGGTGCAGAAGAGGAAACAATGAGTATTAACATTTTGTTCAAGAAGTTTGACTGTGAAGGGGAAAAGTGAAATAAGGTAGTAATGGTAAAATAAGTGGGAGTTGAAGAACACATTCTGGGTCATCTTTTTATTTTAAATGTTTAAGTATTAATGGGAAGGAGCCAACAGAAAGATAGAGGAGAGGACATAATTAAATGAGGTTTCTGAGAAAGTATCAGGGAATGGGACATGAAGCAAAAATGTAGATAAGCTATAGAAAGGGGGAGGAAGTCTTCCATGAAAACACAAGAGGAAGAGGAAAGGATGGATTGGATAAAATGGCTGGGGAGCCAGAAGTTAGAAGCAATTCCTTCCTTTCTCTTTCTCTTTCTGTGTGTGCGCGCGCGCACACACACACACACACACACACACACACACACACATTCTGCTGAGTCTGCATTTTTTATTTCTACCAGCAATTTATGAGGGTTCCAATTTCTCCATAACGTGAATAGTAAGCATAATAGTAATGCTTACTATTACTTTTCTTTTTTTATTGTAGTCATTCTAGTGGGTGTGCAGTGGTGTCTCATTGTGGTTTGATTTGCACTTGGGTACATTCTCTTATGAGATCACCTACAGTCCTTGTGAAGAAAGAAAAAAAGTTTCCTGTTAAGAGGGCAGATAGCATTAGAAAGTGGAATGAAACAATAACAACAAAGGTAGAGAAATCTAAAGCAGCCACCAGGAAGGATGAGATACTTCTCACCAGGGAAACCTAAAAAGATGCTGAAACAGCCCAGTGAAAACTGGAAGATTGTAAGTCTGAGTATCCTATCCATCTGACCTCCTGTGAGATTTTCTTCTCTAGGAAGATTTTTCTTTTGTTTTTAAAACTGATCTAACTAGAACTGGAATGGGAAGCTTCTCTGAGAATTTTTACATTTAAAAGCAATGACAGAAGTGCTCCTGAAAAATCCACTGTTTTTGTGTTTAAAATCCTGTAACATACACATTAGAAGTGACAGTTTGCATCAGATTCTCTCTCCTCTATCGTTGAGAACAAAGCACATGCGTTTGCTGCAGTGGATCTTACATTTGTACTCTAAGGACTTAAGCTACAAACATCAGGTTCTGAATTCATCAAGTGACAAGTTGCAACAAACATCACACATCTGTCATTAAAGTAATGATTAATTCCACCCTGGCTCGTGTGGCTCAGTGGATTGAGTGCCAGCCTGCAAACCGAAAAGTCGCCAGTCTGATTCCCAGTCAGGCCACATGCCTGGGTTGTGGGCCAGGTACCCAACTAGGGGCATGGAAGTGGCAACTGATCAATGTATCTCTTGCCCATGGATGTTTCTCTCTCTTTCTTTCTCCCTTCTTTCCCCCTCTCTAAAAAATAAATAAATAAAATCTTTTTAAAAAATGGGTAATTCCTTTAAAACATGTCAGAGAGTCGTATCACAAACTGTTAACAACTTAAGACTGATAACAATCATATATACAAATAATAATCGATTATATGAAAATGATTTTTCACTGTCAGTTACTTTGGAGGGTATGAGATACAGCCAATCTGGTTTAACTAATTCAATAAGTACACCCCTCTATAATATATTTAATTAATTTAGAGATTTATCATTAAAGCACACTGCTGCATACAGTTTTGTGCTCAGGGATCACATCTTGGAACTGACTTACATGTGAACCAGATTTAAACCAAGGGTTCTATGGCACAAGGCACTAGTTGTTTCAGCTATCTTTTGCTGAGTAATAAAACATCCCAAAACTCAGTGGCTTAAAACAATAGCAACATGTTGTTTCTCTCAATTATGTTTTGACTGGACGAAGCTAGGGTTAGTCATGAGGTCACATGTACAAGGGAGCTTAACTAGGGTCTAGCAAGGCCACTCCAGGTGGTATCACTTTTCATCTAAGCCCAAGCCTCCAAGCCCAAAGATTGACTTACTGAATGTAGTACACACACAAGGAATAGTATAATAATAATAAAGGTCTTTGACTTCCCTTCAGTCTTATTACCACTCTGACTTTCAGATAAAGTAGGACATTGTCTCAGACTTCCTAGCTTGAGCTGCTGATTATTAAGATGAAGCCAAACTCTGGATGGAACAAGCAAGTACTCTTTAATTCTAAAAATTTAAAGGAATTTTTTTAAAGCTGAAAACCTGATAGCTTTGGTTTTTATGGCTATTTTTCTGAAGTTCCCAGAACTTGATCATTTGGATCACATACATAATCACTGTGGAAGAAACCTTTTTGAAGACTAATATCTTTCCTCTTTATGAAAAACAGACTGCAGGGTAAACTGATAGACTGGTATTCATAAAATGATTAAAATGATGTGGCTCAGCTGGTTGGATCATTGTCCCATAGACCAAGCCTCACAGGTTCGATTCCTGTCAGGTCACATACCCAGGTTGTGGGATGGATCTCCTGTTGGGGCGCACAGAAGGGAGCCAACTGATGTTTCTCTCTTTCTCCCTTCCTTTCTCTCTCTCTCTGAAAACAATGACAAAAAATGTCCTCAAGTGAGGACTAAAATAAAGATATCCTCCCACAGATTAACTGCTATATTAATAGAATCTAAATATACAGTTATATATTCAACTCTGAAAGTAGTTCAAAGAGGTAAAACTCACCCAGTGTTCACTTCAAATGGATACTTCGTACAGTTTAAAGCACACAGTAAACTACCATTAGGGTTAAATCATTTTTCTATTCCTTTCAGCATTATAAACTTTGATATTTTGATGTTATGATCCCACAATGCACACCAGTTTCAGAGACTCACAGTTTTTGCTTCCAAAGGCTATAATGCTCCCCCCCCCCAAAAAAAAGAACAGGCCGAAGACAAATAAGACAATGAATTTGGATTTTTTTAAGCATTATTATAATATTGCTTTATAAAACTAATCCCCAACTGCAAAGAGTTTTGCAGCAGATGGCTTCGGAGTGTCTCACATGCAAGTAAACATAAGCAAAAAGCCATTTACGAAAGCAGAAGAGAGAGTGCCTCAATGGTTATCTTAAAGAGAACAGGTAGTTTACCTGAGGCAGGACAAGGGAAATGTCTTTTCACTCAGTTAACCGCACTCCTGGATAAAGATGCCTACTATATGAATAGCCTTTTGCGGAGTTACGTGTTGTGAGGGAACGGGAAACTGAAGAATATGGTTTGTGACACCACTACCCTCCTCTGAGGAGGCGCTAAAATCTTAAGGAAAGGCCGAGGGAGGATGATGAGGGTCAGAGGAGGTATCTCTCAGGAAAAGAACGCCGAGAGCAGCGGCAGGCGAGCTAGGAGGAAAACCGCGTCCCTGCGACACAACAAAAAAGAGAGAGAGAGCAAGGAAAACTTTCCCTAGCCTCTCCCCAGCCTTTTCCTCTTCCCGGGAGGAAGAAACGCTAGCTGAGGTGCTAACCCTGCGGGATTGGCGGACCGGAACCCGCAGCCTGAGGAAAGAGGGAGGGAGGGAGCAGGAGAAACGGGGCACGCTGGCCTGGCCCGCGGGGAATGGGAAGCAGAGAAGGTAGGAGGGAAAGGGACCTCTGCGAGCTCGCGCCCACGACTCACCGGCTACCTGGGAGGCCAGCCACTGCCAGTTGCTGTCCGCCGAGCCCAGCCGCCGCCAGCGCCTCGGGAAGCTCGGAAGATTGGCTGGCCGAAGAAACACCACCCAGCCGCGGTGCCCAGGGCCAGCCAAGAGGGGAGGTGTGGGAGGCGGGGCACCAGGGGCGGGCCCTCGGAGTCACATGTTCCTGGTCGCCTCACGTGATACTGGCTCCGCGCCGGAGCAGCGAGCTCCCAGGGGAAACCTCGCCTTGGGCTTCGCTCATTCTATGGCGGAGAGACCGCGGGCCCTCGGCATCTGCAGAAGCAGATTAGCTGTCTAAGCCCAGCCTCAGCCTCTGCGCAGTCACAGTGGAGCTTCGGGGCTGCGGAGGTTGACAGGCTTTTGTCTGTCAGGGAAACAGGGACGTGTGAGGGGTGGTGTCCTGTTGGTCTCTCGGGAAGACTTGGCCACCGGGAGTGTCGGCCTACGGCAGAAAAGCGACTGGCAACTTCTTTCCCTGCCTTACGGCGCACTACCCACAAGGTCCTGCCTAGGGTGAAGGGCCTTAAAGGAGGAGAGACTCGTTTTACTGCAAAGACGTTTGTTTCTCCGTGTACTTATACACTCACCTGAAAAGCACCTGAGTAAAAATCGAGGGTAGAGTTGGCAACTACACCAAGATAAGAAGGGAGAGAAGCACTGGACCCAGATGATGAAAGGAAGTCGGATGTTCTTGGAAAGGTGGCTCTCAAGGTTGGGAGAGACTTAAGATGGCAAATGACCAAAGCCTTTTCTTAATATAAATGAGGAAACTAGGGCCTGGAAAGGGGATGCTTCGTGCCATTCCAGCCTGTTACTACGTAGACTAAATCACTCTCGTAAAATACAGTACGGCTTTCGAAAAAGTCTAAATTGGTTCCACAGGATGAAGTCCAAACATCTTGGCATAAGTTTCCAAGCAATCTCGTTCCCATGAATAAAAGTTTATTTTCTGAGTATCACCAAATACCTCCACTAATTACTAAAAGAAGCCTCCTTTTCCTCATTTTCCAGCACTTTGAAAACAGTACTCGTTCTGACTACAGAGAATTCTTGTTTTCCTTGACTACTCTACTTTCTTCTGACTACTACTCACTTTGTCCCTAAGTAGCTTTACTCCTTTTTGCATTTGTTCATTCTTTTTCCTCTGTCTGAAATGCCATGAATCACTACCCTCTCCCTCCTTAAAAAAAAACCAAGAGCCAAACAATAGTTAAAACTGTAAAACAAGATTTTATCAGAAACTATTGCAATAGGAGAATTGAGCCCAGATGCTCTCTTCCCCTATTGCAGTAGTTTCTGAATAAAATCTTTTTGCAGCATTGGGTCTTCTTCTTAATTTTTTTTATTTTTATTTTTTTAGATTTTATTTTTAGAGAAGAAGGGAGGAGAGAGAGAGAGAGAGAAACATCATATGTGGCTGGCTCTCACGCGCCCCCTCCTGGGGACCTGGCCTGCAGCCCAGGCTTGTGCCCTGACTGGGAATCGAACCGGTGACTTTCTGGGTCTCAGGCCGGCACTCAATCCACTGAGCCACACCAGCCAGGGCCTTTTTACAGCTTTAACTACTGTGAGGCTCTGGTGTTTATATATATATATATTATATATACATATATATATAAAATTTTTTTTTAAATCCTCACCCAAGTACATTTTTTCATTGCTTTTAGAGGGAGAGGAAGGGAGAGAAACACCAGTTGGTTGTGTCCTGTGTGTGCCAAGACCCAGGATGGTCTGTGTCTGAACCAGTGGTACAACCCACAACCCCGGTATGTGCCCTGACTAGAAATTGAACCTGCAACCTTTCAGTTACGATGATGCTCAAACCAACTGAACCACACATGCATGGACAGGCTCGGTTATTTTTAACATCACCCCAAGGTACACATCAGTCTCCTCATCTTTCAGAATCCAGGTCAAATACCACTATTCTTGTCTTCCTGCCCTGTTTCGTCCTCCCTGATTTAGCAGCATCAGCAACTGAGGTTCACTCAGACGTTGTCAACTGCAATTTCTTCCCTGATTCCTAGGACACTGCACATAGTCTGATATATAAATCGAACATTGCCCAAAAATGTACTGTGCATTTCCTATAAGAGGTAAATTATTTATCACTGTCTTCTTCTCTAGCTTATAAACAACTGAAGCAGAACTTCTGGCCTTGGTACAGTGCCCTTAATATCCACTAAAAAAAAAGTGCCTTCACCAACATCATAGCAGTTCAATGAATGTATTTAAAAAGGCCTACTTTGCTCAAACTGAAGTCAGTTCCTTTTAGGCCACAATCTGATCAATAGAACTTTTGTAAAACATGTTTGTGGGAGCAGTAGAAATGGGGGTTTGGGATTTGAGTCATCAAGTATTTGATAAAAGACAAGTAGTAGGTAGATTAAGAAGGGAGGGAAAGACCTTCCGGGAATGATAGCCATATATTCAAAGGTAGGGAGACATGAATCAGTGTTATTTCCTTAGGAAAAGTAACATTGTATGGCTGGACTTAGTGACCTCCCTGATACAAAGGAAACCTAATTAGTTAATGTTGATGCACTTGAAAATGTTGGGAAATGCCCCATCTGGTTTCAGGGAACTGTAGTCTCACAGACAGGCAAGAGGTCCCCGAGGCCAGAGCTAATCAAGGAGACCTTGGGAGAACAGGCCACTAAGGACACGGAACCTGTCCCCCTGTGCCCCTGCCTCCCTCACATCACCCTGCTTGGCCCTGTAATGGTTGGTTAGTCAATGACGGGTGAGATTCCTCATGAGAAGGGACAACCTAAGCCAGACATGGCCGGTATGGGCAGCAGACAAGGACTTGGGGGGACACAGACAAAGGGCAAAAAGGTCTGCACCCCTTCGCTCTGATTGGACATGGCCAGAGTCCTTATTCTATCTGAAAGAAGTCTCCTTATCTCTTGGTGGCTCTGCCCTGCCTGCCTGGCTCAGGCTTGAAACAATACTAAAGGCAGGTACAGCACTAAACTGGATCAGGTGGTTCCCTGGGACAATCAGGCCTAGAAGTAATTTCCTCTAAGCATCTTTTGTTCTTCCCTCAAAAGTGATGATAACTGGCTCATACTGGGAAGAAGATTTACGTTATTCACAGACTTGAGGCAGATCTCTTGTGTTCCTTCAATTGTTACCTATGATCTCTATTTGTTTTCTGTAAACATAGCCTTTTGACATTAATGAGCTTTGCATCCATACCCCTGTGCATAAGGTTCTCAAGAAAAGCCTTTGGACATGGGGGTTCGGGGCCTTCCCCACTAGAGAGAAGTAGCCATGTCCCCTCTCCTGGCAGAGAAGTGTTTGTGATGACTCGTGTTTATTCCCCACATCCGTGACAACCCCAGAATAGGCTCTGCGGGATTCAGAATCCTGCTCCCTCCTCCGCTGGCTCTGGACAATAACCTTCAGATCTGGGAGCCCCGCTTTCCCCACAATGCATTGCTCCCAATGACATGAAAGAATCACATATTTATTAGTATTACTTATCGGACTAATTATAGTCCAGATTAGTATTACTTATCAGACAAATCATAGGTTCTTCACCTAAAATTGGCCTGTGGACTCATGCTAGGTGATTTTTTGCCTTTTTTTTTTTTCAGTTCCTAAAGCTCTCTATAATTATTATCTTAAAATAGCAAAATTATTTGTTCCAAAAAATATTATTTGATAGCACTCTAAACATTTTATACAGAGCAAAGTAACTCAATTTACAAGTAGTGCTTTAAAGAAGAAACTGGGCTCTACCTCCAGAGGTGGGGGAAGACTATAAGTGTTCACGCTAATAGATGACTATGCTGGTAAAAAGTATCTGCCATGAAGCTAATGAAATACAATTAATGTAAGGTTTAAATTAGAATGGGACATAGAACAATTTTAATCACTCTTGGGGGCTTTGGAATTACATTTCAAAAATTAATCTCTCAATAAATGGAAAATAAGAATATCTTGCTTTTCTTCCCTTTTCCTCCACTGTGCTCTTCTGTGAGGATCAACTTATGCTGCTGTGGGTCAGCCAATCCAGCCCAACTTCCTTCAGCTGGACTATCTAATCGTTGATAAAGTGCATCTCTTACACAATTTTCGTTGCTAAGAAAATCTTCTGATGGTCCCTTAAGTGGACACTTGTTTTGTATTGGCCATTGCAAAGTTCTTAGTATTGGGAAAGCAAAAGTAAAAGAGATTACAGTTACTTATTCAAAGACTGGAATATTATTTCTTCTGAGAAAAATAGCTGGAAGCACCCAAATTATCTTTACCTTTTTTTCTCAGCCTCTTCCTTCCTCATGGGGTTGGTCAAGATTAAGAAAAATAAGCAAGAGAACCACCAACAGTGGCTAAATAGGAAACAGATCACTATTTAAGATTGTTTACCTGTTTTTGTAATATACAGTCAGGAAATCTATTCTGTCGGTCTCAAAAACAATATAATTATTTTGAAAATTGAAGATGACATAACTTTTTTAGGATTTTGCAAATGTAATAAAATAGAGAATGTATGTAGAGAGAGATTCCACCTTGATTTTCAATTAGCTAAGCCAAACAGGATAAACATGACCCATCACAATAAGTTTTACAACTTCAGTCATTATTGATCTACTTTGGGGATAATTTCTGTTCTTATAGTTGGGATAAATAAACATGGCATAAAATGTGGAAATAATATTGACAAAAGTGGTAATGGATAGTTGAAAAACAACTTTTTTTTTAAAGATTTTTTATTCTTACTCCTTTTTTCCCTCACCTCAAGAACCAGAAGTATTTTTCTTTGCTCACCATGCAAATGTTTTAAATGAGCAAACAAATATCTTAGTCCTGGCTAAAGTAGACTATGCTGCTGATTCATATCTTCACCCACACCAACACAGGTGCTGTGCTGAATAAGTAGCATAAAGAGACAAACCTACCTGCTACCTAAACCAGGCATGAGTCTCTTCTAAGCACATCTCTCATGAGTGTCTATATCACTCACATATAAGGTCATCTTTATACATAAGAGTGATCCAAAACACTGTGTATAATTTCTTACTTATCCTTTGACAGGTAAGAGCACTTCTTAAATATAGAATTCCTGCATTGTCCATGTGAACTGATAGTGCCCTATTTACTTTATTCATCAGTAGTGG